CTTTTATTCAATTAACATTTTGATTTCATTTGTTTTTTACTTTTTTTTTCGATGTTGAATTAGCATTTTATTTAAAAAGTTCCATTTTCTTCACATTCTAAATTTGCTAATCACTTATTTACACTTTTTTTTTGAATTTTCTAGAATAGGAAAAAGTTATAGTATCTATTACGGGTGTTGGTATTGAGTAATAATATCTATTCTAGACATGGGTTGTTGGCTAGCGATGACAGAATTGAATTTATCCACAAATCAACTTCGTGTCCTTCCTGATGATGTTGATAAACTTGTTAATTTAGAAGTATGCGAAATAATATTGAAAATGATACTTTAATCAGATATATTTAAGTGATACTTTAAAGCTTCTATTTTTGATTAAAATTGCACAAAATTAATTTCACACTTTATTACAGGTGTTGGTATTGAGTAATAATATGCTAAAAAAGCTTCCATCACAAATTGGTAGTTTGAAAAAGCTTCGTGAATTGGATTTGGAGGAAAATGAATTGGATACAATACCGAATGAAATTGGTTAGTTTAAATTGGAAATTTCAAACTTTTTAATTTTTAACTGAAAAAAATATTGTTGTTGATGTGTTTTGCAGGTTTTGTATCAAGTTTAACAAAGCTTTGGATACAATCAAATAAATTAGTTGGTCTGCCGCGAACAATTGGGTTTATTTTAAATTCCAATTTTCATGCAGTTTTATTTGAAATAGAATTTACCTTTAGCTTTTTTTCTTCCTTTCGTCAGTCAGCATTATTTTAATAACTTTAGAAATCTGACCAATTTGACCGATTTACGAGCAGGAGAAAATAACTTAACATCTCTACCCGAAGAGATCGGTTAGTCATATTTTGCCAAAAAAAAAAAAAAAAAAAAAAAAAAAAAAAAAAACGAAGTTGTTTTCAAAATCTTTTCCAGATTTCTTCTATATTGATTAAGTATTCCTAATTTTGTATCCATTAACTGGCTTTTTTTTTCCGTAATTCTAACTTTATTGGTGATTTTGATATTCTTTAAAAAATTTATAGCAGTCGAAGTTAAAAATTTCTGAGATTTTTTGGAAGTTTCCAATTTTGTTTTTTTTTTTTTTTTTTTTGATACTTTTCATTTTAAGGCAATTTGGATTCACTGAAAAGTCTTTATATCAATGATAACCCATCGCTTCACAATTTACCATTTGAACTTGCGCTCTGTGCATCACTTGAAATTATGTCAATTGAAAACTGTCCATTATCACAGATACCTCCCGAAATTACCGCGGGTGGTCCTTCTCTTGTTATTCAGGTAATAACCATTATAAAATATTCTAAATTTTAATTTGAAATGATAAATTATTTTCATTTTAACATACGCAATATATATAATTTATTTATTTTATAAGCATTTTCATTTTCAGTACCTCAAGATGCAAGGCCCATATAGGGTTATGAATATGTAAATATTGATTGTATTTAATATATTGGCTTCTTTATTGGCATTAAAACAGGATTGTTAAAACATGGTTTTTTTCGACATACTGTCAATTTTCTACTTTTTACCTTTTTTTCTTTTTTTTAAATACTATAATTCTGGTACATCTATTGCAAAGTTTATATATCAAAGCAAAATCGTGATATTTATTTCCCTTAAAATTTGGTTTAAAATATTCCAAAGTTAATTATTCGTTTCTAATTAAAATAATTAAACGTAATTTGAAGGGGAAAAAAGTAGGTAATTATGTGCTATAAATTGTTTATTTTTCCGTTTTTTGATTTCTGTTTAAATTAATCCTTCAATTTACTCCATAACAGTTCACTTGCCATCATTATCAGTATAATTACTGCTGTGCAAATATAATTTGCTTTATTATTATTATTCAATGAAATTAAAATTGTTCATCCATGCTCATTTTATGATTTAATAAGAATTTAGTGATTCCTTTTTTAAATATTTGAAAAAAAAATATTTAAGTTTGGAATCTTAATGCAAGAATGATTTCATTTATCTTGCAAAAAAAGACGGAAAAAAAACATTCCTTTATAATAATTAATTTAAACTTCGAACCATAAAGTTAAACAAAAAATATTAAGAAATCTGTATTTTCTAATGCAGTTAAAATCAAAAACCTTTGCCTTTTATCTTAGAGGAATCAGTAATTAGTATAATTGAAACGAACATATAAATTTCTTTGACACCTTTTGAATCAAGCATTTGCTTATAAATTGAAATATAAACTTGAGTCTTTTTTTAAATCATTCATGAAACGGGTATGGTACCAGTATTTCCATCCAATTTTTTTTTTACTTTTTTTTTCTTGTTGCTCGGTGAATACAGTGGTTTTATATATTATAACTTTCCTCTATATTTATAGTCTTGTTATTGTTATTACCTTTTCTTTTTCTTTTTTTAATGCTAAAACTTTTTCCATTGAAATTTTTCTGTCCAATTAAAAAAATTTTCATGCTACTTTTACTTTTTTCTTTTCAAATTTTAAAGTTTCATCATTAATATTTTTTATTTTTTACATTTTACATTATCAATAAAATGAAAAAAAGAAATGAAAAAATTGTTTATTTATTTGATATGTTTTGGAAAAAGAAAAAATTAATTTTATTCGTCATTCTTTCATTTTCATCAAATTTTTATGCTCTTTTTCTTCTTTTCTTTTCTTTTAGTTTTGAAAAAAAGGAGAAAAACAAATTGCTGATTTGTTATTATTATGAAATATTCAAAAATTTAATGACATTGTTACTGATTTGTTTTTGTTTCTTTTTTTATTCATTCACTCTTGTAGTGTCTTATTATTATAATTTGTTGTGAATAAATTTTTTTTTTCTCTCCTTTTGTTTGTATTTCTTTGTTTGAATTACCTGATTTTTTCAAAAGAAATAAAAATAAAGAAATACTTTCAATCTAGCAACAAACTTTCAACCTACAATTGGATTAAATGAAATTACTCTTAATTTAGCAATACAGGTAATCAGAGGATAAATGCGTGAAGTATCGCATTTAAAAGTGTAAAATTTATGTTTTTATTTAGCAAATGTTTTAAAAGTAAATTATAATTATACACAAAAATACAAATGTAAAAAAGCATCGAAAGTGTGCTATATCGAATCATTACGAGGGATCATTGCGACGTCTAAGATTGTTTGTGCAATTAACCATTCTGATTAAGTAATTATTTGTAAAGAATGTTGTAATTTCCCTTTAAGCTTTATAATGCGCTGTCATGAAGTGATGCAAGGTTATAATTTCAAAAATGTTAAATGTAAAATTCTCTTAATAATTCGATAAAAAGTCATGAAATATTTCCAAATATGTAAAGGAAATTATATTTCTCAATTCGATTAAATGCCTTTTGATTTAATTTCCGCAACATCTCTTTACTGTTTTAAAACCTGGCAAATCATCAGTGTAAATTAACGTTAAAATTTGATTGGACAAAAAGTGAATTTTATTCTCGCATCATGTAAATCATAGTATAGTTGTAAGTTCACACCTATTACCATCAAGTTATTATTCAAGCAAATTTTAATTGATAAAGGAAGATATGATAAACTTTTTAACAAAAGGATCCAAAGTATTTTAGATCTTTTTATACTTTAACAATTTTTTACATATCATTACTTATTATTGTATTCATTCCTTCATTATTTAGAAATCAAAATGATTTGCTTTATTTATCCAAAGTATTACCCAATGTATAATGAAAAAAAAGGTGCAAAAATTTGTCTGAAATATATACATCTGTAACGAGAACAAAACGGAATCGATAATGTTACTTTCATTGCCCATCTCATCAACACTAACGTTGTTGATAAGATGTTTGAAAATATTTTTAAATTACCGGGAAAACTTGACTTTACACGAATACTTGTGTGTAAACTTCGTAATGATGAAATTTTGTTATTAGATTCAATTATAGCAACGATTCTCTGATAATTATCGGTAGTTAGCACTGGAGTTTTACTAATATTTCAACTAATGACGACAAATTGTCGTGCAAGTCTCAAACTCATCTGAAAGTGTCCCTGCCAATGATAAGCCGCGGCTTACCGGGATTTTTAGATATTCCGAATTAGCGGGGAAGTTTGACGTTGCTGATGAGTGCTACTATGCGTTGTTTTCATTTTGGTATATAAGCTTTGTAGTGATGAAATTTCGTTATTAAACTGAATTATAGCAATGACTCTATATACCGGTAGCTGGTTTTGGAATTTTACTAATATTTCACTCAATAACGACAAATCGTCGTTCACTTCTCAAACGTAATGTACCTTGTCCAGTCTAAAATGTATCCTTCCTAACGGTAAATCACGGCTTGCCGCGATTTTTAAATATTTCGAATTGCCGGGAAAACTTGAGGTTGCTGGTGACTTTCGTTGTACGTGAACGATGTTATGCACATTGTTTTCGGCTGTATATAGAAGCATTGCACAACTGTTTTCTTTTAATTCTACAGCTCATTGTTTGCGGATCTTACGAATCTTTGTCATGTCGATCTCTCTTATCATTCTTCAGCTGATTTTCTGAAAATTCTTCATTTTATCGTTAGAAAATTGTCATTTATTTGTCAGCAAAAATTTAAATAATGTATAGCTTTACTGTTTCAAATCAACTTTTGAGTTGACAAGAGTTTTTGAATACATGTAGTAATTCATTTACTCATTAAATTTTCTTTGTTTTTGTCCAATATAACTGAAAATAAATTTCTTCTCTGCTTTTTATGTCGCAGGATAAGGAAAACCACAATTTACCAGCGAGAGTTTAATCAGCAAACTATTACTTGGAGAGAAAGCTTTGAAAAAAGAGTTCATGTGCAATCTTAAATTTCCATTTTTTTTTTTTTTTTCATTGTGAAATTGGGATTTTGATACATAATTATAAATTAATTGTAATTTTGAAGTATGCGTCGTCTCTCTGGATAATCTTTGCCATTGTCTACGAATTTTGTTGCAGTTTCTAAACCCAGGGGACGATGAATTCGTCTTCTAGCCACTGTGAATCTAATATGCCTGATGATGATGATGCTGATACCATGGTGAGTCAAGGTAATAGATGATCATTGGCATCCGTTGTGATCAAGGTTATGACAAATCTGCCTGCGTTTGATTAAAGCACGACATCTTTTTTTCTAACTGTCTTGAATTTATTTTCAGTTATTTTATATGGAAAGAGACAGAAACTAAATATATCTTAATTTGCAAATAGTATCATTGCTGCATCATGCATCTTTGCGTTATTAATTTCCAGATTTTTGTTTCATTTTCGGTCTTGTACTATTTCATTAATAAAGCAATGAAAATCATTGCTCATGCATTCTTTCATTTGACTTATAGATGAAGAAATACACTGTTGTTACGAAGTACTTTATGGTAAAATTTCTTCGAGAAGGCACAAAAGATGGCAAGGCGATGGGTTGTTGTACTGTCGTAAACGTTCTACTATATTAGTAACGGAGGTTCTTTTTTTTCGTGAGTGTGTTAGAAAAAATTGCATGTTTTCTTGATTAATCTAATAATCTTAAAGAACATTAATAGCTTAACCATTGGGAGATTGAATGAAACAGTTTAATCGTTCGTGTCGTTTATCGATTTTAAGAATATCAGAGATAACATTGTCCCAGTTATTCAATGCGGGGGGAGGGGGTAATTATTGGTATCATCCAAAGTGTTACCGATGTTTGTTCTAACTGACCCAAATTTTAATCATTAAGGATGGTGAAGAAGTCGCGAGGACAAGTGGTTATTCATTTAAGCAGTTAAGGGAATTGAAAGTAGGCAGTCAACTGAAAGTTAGTAATTATGAAGTGGAAGTGCAGAATGAGCCAAATCCACAGAAGCTTGGTACTTTTCAATATCTTGCATAAAATTTCATGAAATGAAGATTCTTCATAGGTCACAAGTCTCTTGTTATTGGTGCGATTACAGCTGAGTTTGGAAAGCAACCAATAGTTGCTGAATTGGCGGGAAGCAGTGCAACACATGACGAGAGTTCGAAAAAACAGCGAAGAATTACTGATCAGATTTTCATTTCACCACTGTTTGGTCGGGATAATCCTCTGGACTTGGTATTGGATGAGGTATTTATATTGTGGTTGTAATTCAAGATGACTTTGTTTTTATTCCGCAGTTCCTTTCTTCTACATCTTTCTTGGAGGAAAAAATATCATTACATGAAATTAATATTTTATTAGACGAAAGATGATGATGGTTTTGTACGACGAATCGCTGTGGATGTGCAAATTGCTCGCCACCTGAGGCCACATCAAAAGGATGGCGTCGCTTTCATGTACAGATGTTTAAAGGTTTCTCTTTCTCTCTCTAAACTTCATCTTTCCGAAACTTTCAGAAATTTAAATTCCACTCATTTATTTGTTGAGAAAAATAATGGCATTCATTAATTCTTGACTAGCTAATCGTTACTTGTTTTGCTTTTGCTTTCTCCTCATGTACCAAACTAAATTGTAATTTGAACTTGAGAAATAAACTGTACGAATCTTCGAAATAATTATTCCTTCAAAATTTTGATTGCATCTGTTTGAAGGATTCTCATGGCGGAGCTCTTCTTGCTGATGAGATGGGTTTGGGTAAAACTGTACAGACCATTTCGTTGATAACTGCATTAGTCAAAAGACGATTAAATCAAAAACCAGTAATTCGGAAATGTATCATTGTGGTACCGACATCACTGCTAAATAACTGGTACGCAGAATTTATGAGGTGGTCACCTCAGACACAAACAATGGTATTTTTTTTTTTAATTTTTAGTATTTTTGGAATAGGACTAGTTTTTTTCCGAATATTATTAAACGAAATTTTCAGTTGTTCCGGATTTTGAAGTCAACAGATGTGAAAAAGCTAATTTCGTGTCGGAACACATCAATGATTGTCATCGTTAGTTATGAAATGATTGCACGCACCGCTGCAAAACTGTCAGTTGTTTCAGTCGATCTGTTGGTTTGTGATGAAGCACATAGGATTAAAAATCTGAATGGAAGACTCCGAGGACAAGTATGTTGGACTGTGGATTAGTTTTTTTTTTTTAATTTAAGCTTTATATAGCAAACTTAAATCACATTTTAGCTTCAAATTTTGCATGCCCAGCGTCGTTTATTGCTGACAGGAACACCAATGCAAAATGATCTGGAAGAATTCTATTCATTGGTTAACTTTGCACGGCCAGATCTTTTTATCTCTTTCTCGGAATTCAAAAATCTTTGTGAAATGGAGGTATCGTTAGATAAAATATACCTTCTCATAGTCATTAACATATAATTTATAAGCTTTAAATGATCTAGTGATGTTTAGTGTTTGTTTGAACTCTCAACTTCTTGTATCATACGTTTTCTTCGCAACCTTAGAGACAAGTAAAGCATTTAGCAGAACTATTTCTTAGTCAAGTAAGGGAATATTGATGCATAAATTTAAGAATGTTTTGACAGTTTTGTTGACTGTTTAACAACAGATATTTTAGTCAACTCGTTTCAATGAATTGCTATCCGAGGTGATGCTTCGCCGAACATCTGAAGTGATCCATGATTTGCTACCACCAAAAAGTTTATAATTTTGATAATAAATTTCAATTTTAACAGAGCTAGATAATTAGACAAATTAGAGGTAATTTAAGAAACAAGTTGGTATAGTGAAGAAAGATTCAATGAATGAATCGAGTTTTAAAGTGTTGCATAGCTTTTTATAGTAACACTTCAGATCTTTCAGCCAATTCTGTTTCTGTACTACTCATTTCGAGAGTGTTTTTCTCCTTATAGCAGAAGTCAAAAAAATATATAAAAATCAATCAGCGAACTATTAATAACAAAACATTTCGTACTTTTTAGTTGATTACATAGTTTGGTGTCGACCATCAGCGTTACAATGCTCTATATACAAAAATTTGAAGAAATTCCTCCCATACGATCACTTGACTTTGATTGATGCCTTACGAAAGTTATGTAATCACCCGTTTCTTCTTTATCAGAGTATGGTAGTGAAACGTCAAACTTGTAAGGTGGTTCATTTTACTTTATAAGTTTTTAATTCTGGTGTATAATGAATTACCCGACATTGCTCCGAATGCTGAGTGACTTATTCATTACTTTGGATGCAAAAATTAACTTTCAGTACCTTAAACTGTGAACTTCACGTGTCATCAAATCACAGCCAGTGATTTGGGGTAACCTACATTTCGAACTTTTTCACACATTTACATAATTATATTTAGTGTGGAATGAAATGATTTAGAGTTATTTCCAGATGGAAGAAAGGGAATTTTATAATGCATTTCTTCAATCATTTCCGAATACTTTCAATTCTTTTTCTCTTTCAACCACTGACTCAGGTATTTGACATTGTTTCATAATTCCATATTCTTTTGAGGTTCATCTTTTCCATAAGTTTTCCTCCATTTCCTCTTTTTTTTACTTCACTGGAAATGCATGTAATGTTTTCTATTTTCTCAGGCAAGCTTAATGTGTTTGTCGAGTTACTGGCAACATTTCGAGAACAGGAAGAAAAAGTGGTCATTGTTTCCAATTTCACCCAGGTTTGTTTTTTAGTGCCGGAGAAAATGTAAGAAATTCAAATTGAGATTTTTTAAGTGCAATATCGAAGTTAATTTCTACTTTACCTTCTGCTTCAACAATTGAGGAATGTTAACATTATTGGTTTTAAGCACTATTTCATAGGAAAAAGCAAATTGTATCAATAGAGAATCTTTCACGACCCTTTTTTTAGACTCTTGATCTCTTGGAGGAGCTTTGTCGAACTTTATATTATACTATTCTACGATTAGATGGATCAACAGAAGCGAAAAAAAGAATGGAAATTGTTGAAGAATTCAATTCTTTATCAAATAAGAATTATGCATTCTTATTGAGTGCTAAAGCAGGTGATTTGTGTTGCAGTCGTGGCTTCAGCTGTTTATGGTTTCATATTTTCCTTCTTACATCTGATTCTCTAACAGGTGGACTTGGCTTAAATCTCGTTAGTGCTAATCGAATGATTTTGTTCGATTCGGACTGGAATCCAGCTGTGGATATGCAAGCCATGGCTCGTATTTGGCGACAAGGACAAGAAAGACCATGTCACATTTTTCGACTTATCACAGCGGTAGTATCTTAGACTTACACTTCATTTAGTAACTGTGCTATTCCTTATTGCTGTTAATATAGTTATTGTGATAAATGAAATTATTTGGCATTGTTATAGCAATTTTTTAGGGTACTGTGGATGAAAAGATTTTGCAAAGACAAATCAAAAAAAGCAGTCTCAATACAATAGTTGAAATGGTCCCAGTTGAATGTAATTTTTACCTTTATTTGCAACTGCGCCTTTTTGCAGTCGCACTTTTTTGCTGATGTTATACTATTCAGTGGAATAGCTAAGGTACATATCAAAATGTTATTGCCAAAACTGTATGAAGTTTAAAATTTTAGCACTTACGCATTTTTCTGATGAAGAATTGCAAGATGTTTTTACACTTCGTGATGATGCTGAATGTGAAACACATTTTTTATTGGAATGCCAATGCGACGGACGTGGTCTTTTGCCAGAAGAACTGGAAGTCGATCAAGAAATAAGTTCTGATGAGGTTAATTTTAAATTTCAGTACAGAAAAGTTAGCAGCAACACTAATTCTATTTCATTTAACAATTTGCTATGATGAATTGTAAGTGTTGAGTTTATAGAATTCTGCATTCTATCCGGATGTTACTACATACAGCGAAGGAATGGATGAAAATTACGACCACACGTCAGTTGCAGAAGATTCTCTGCAGCCATCATCTAATTCTTTAATGCAGAATTGCATCGATACGATCCATTTTGCTTCCACTACCTACGAAGTGCATGAAGATGACGCTGGAAATAAAATATTGGGAGACGAAGCGGCATTATCATCGGTTTGTCAGTTTTTCAAAACTAAACTAGTTCTGGGCTTTGGAATGTGTCAGTTGAATTAAATCTATATGATGCCTGTCTTGCATCCATATGTAACTCAAACGTGAAATTTTGACCAAGATAGGGAATCAGTTCAGTTCAGCTTGATGTAAAAAAAAAAACTTATTCTTTCAAATTTAGAGCGCGTTGATGGGAACATTGATGCGTTGGCAGCATCACTCCCCAAAACATGACCAGTTTGAATCTTTGAAAGCTGAGGCTGATTTGGAAGAATGCTGTCTAGATGAAGTTTCGTTCATAATGAAGCTGGTCTCGAATTTCTGAGTGGTATCTCTTCCGATTACTGTTGGATAGCTTGAGAAATTATCCAGCTCGCAATTTTTTAGGTTTTGCTTCTTGTTGAATTACTTCCGTTTTAATACTGTCTCTCATTCGAGTATTTTGAAGTTTATCTCAAGTCCACTTGAAGAATCCACGTTGCGTTTTATCTCATGTTTTTGTGAATATTCCGTATTAAATAAATTCTTAAATCATTTCGCCAACTTCTGGAATAATCTTATATCTTAATTCGAATAGTTATATTTTGCGAAATTGAGATATTTCAAAAAATCTACGCCTTTACTGTGATAATTTTAAAATGAACAGCGAGAACTTTTATATATGCCGATATATATAATATATGGACATATATAAAAGGAAAAAAGTGGCGGGAAACCCAGTACGTAAGTTTTTTAAGCCAGTTTGGAAGGACAAGTACTACTAAATTTATTACCTTCATAAGGGGCGTTTACTAAAAAATTATGTCGCCTAGTATTGGAGTATATAGTCCACTTTAACAATATTTATGTCAAAAATGTTCAAAGGAATGAACTCCGAAACGTTTGGTATATTAGCTTAATTGATAAATAAGTGAGTACTTACTGTCAAGTACTTATTTTTGAGACGGAAAAGCAATGAAATACAACTTGGACATATTTAGACAACCTAGACAGAGATAGATAAGTGTAAATAGACAGCATCGATATGTATCTCATACTTTCAGAAAAGCATGTTTAAAAAACGAAGAGAATAGCTTTTAAAGCGAATGTAACTAAGTGGAAACGACGATTGGAAATAGCTACAAATTATATGACGAAATACAGCATGCGACCCACATTGCAGATCAGCATATACTTCATCAAATGGTCTGGAGTCGATTAAATAGGGAATTCCAAAGTAACGTTTGCGGTATGCATGCTGATTCTACTCATCTTTCATAGTTTCAAAGTAAAACATATTAAAATAACAAAATTAATATGCAAAGATATAGTGTTTCGAAACTGTTTTCAAATGTTATTTAAAAAAAAGCAGACAACATGGTAGGCAGCTCAAACAGCTAAAACAAGGCACTGTGTAAATATTTGTTGTCAGCAACACAATACTTGGTGATGCGGATAAATTCAATTATAATGTTACTCAGCAACTGCATGTAAACCTAAATCAACTAAGAATTTGAAGAAGCGAATAAATCCCTCTGACAGACAAGTAAAATAATTTTCACTGCATTGCTCAGACGGAAAATTAAAAAGAAATGAGAATGCAGTTATAAAACTGCTTCTCCTCCACCCGTTTCAAGAAACCAGATGAAACATCGATGTACATTCATGAATTACAAATGTATTTTTGACAAAGAAAGGAACGTCAATTTTTCCAAGCACTTTTAAAACCAAAATGAATGAATCTGATTCGTGCTGTTTGTTACTCAAAAATTCAAAAACAGCAAACTCTTCAAAAAAACAACCTTTTTAGGATAGTATTCTAAAAATGCTACAAGGGAAATTATTACTGGGACGTAAAAATAAAGTTAATGTAAAAAAATATTGATTTTCGAATTATTTTATATGATTGTCACTGTAAATTATTCGTAATCTTTCTATGAGCAATCGACAGATACTAATGTTAAATAGAAATTAATATGTAACACTTAATTTCCTGAACAATAAACCTAATGTCCCGAATATTTCTAGTTAATAACTACTCACTCATAGCGGAACTTCAATAATAAATTACGATATGCACAGATCACTGTCTGATTCATATTAAATAGGAAGAATACAATAACAAAGAAGACACAACGTATTTGGATATTTGTTTTTTCTTAGTATTAAAGTCAAAATCACTTGCCAGCTTCAATGTTCTTTGTGTGATGAACTGCTGCTGCTGCCGTTTCTCCATTGGTTTTTGTCCCCGATATATTTTCCATCGAGATGTGTCGGCTGATTTTATCAGCTTTTCGCCATAATGTCATCTCCTCAAAATAAACATAAAGTTAGAAATTAGATCTGGAAAATCCCAGTTTCAACTAATTATGAAGAAAACAACACCTAATTAATAATCACTGGATCAAAATGAATCGATAGTTTGAGACGTAATATATACTTCAGTCGAATGTCTTACTTGCTGCTTGAAGTAACGACGATCTTCTTCATCAACCAAAACGAGGTTTAAATAATAGCGAACTGAGAATTTTTTGCCAACATCACGCATCGTTGGTGTTAAATCATAACCAGCAAGAAAAAGACGTATTGGAATTGATTCACCTGAAAGTTACTTTAATTCATTTCAATTACTTAAACAGTCTGAGAGAAGATGGCTAAAAAACTACGCACAGTGAAGCCAGGCAAGGAAAAAACTTTAGATTCTCAAATATATGGTGTACTTCAGTGTTTAACAAATGGTAATTGACACTGCTGATTTAATCACTAATAGCAGTGACATTCTAAACAGAAAACTATGACTATACTACCACCAAAAAAAAAAGAAAAAAAAAATGATAATTTCTACCTCTTACAGGTGCACCATCCATTATTTCATATTTTGCTATTGTTTCATTCTCATTGAAAATATTTGGCGAATTTCCTACTGTTTCTCGTTTGATTATTGCAATCTCCATAAACTTAATTTTGATCCGAACTAATAAGAAGTATATCTTCCCAACAATTACATCCTTCAGGTGATATCTGCAATCTATTATTTTCAACAAGGCATAATCTTTCTGTTGCTAAACTCAAGCGATGAACAACTCCACATTTATAAGTCCTTCCTGTTATAGTGATCTTTTAAAAAACCGACTAATGCTCTGATATACACTTTCAGTAATTTCGTTCAACAAGCTCATAGGAACTTCAAACATGCAACTGCTTACATATTCCTAATGCTGTTAATGTATTATCTACCCAAAAAATAAAAAACACTTACTTGGAGCGATTATATTCAAATTCAATGTGCAAAGAATCTTCAATACCAACTTCCATCTTGATACTGCTATTTGTATCCGGATAAGAAGAAAGTGTATGTACAATAACATCCATTTCACGTATTATATCGGTTAATCTTCGCACAATGACCACTCTTAGAAAGTAGCTGGAAAAACATATGCACTATTAATATTTTATTGTTGCACTGTTATTGAAATCCGATCTCTTCGATTACTGAGACTTCAACAGTTCTTAATTTCTCAACCAAAAAAAAGATTCAAAACATTTTGAATGCCTTTTTGTTTCTGGTCTTTTTTTAACAACAAATGTGCAGTAACGAAAATAAAAAAAAAAAAAACATACCGCAATTTCACATTTGCACCAACATATGATTCATATGGTTTTTCAACTTTTGGAAATTCGAATCGAAAAGCCACATTTTGCGTTAGTTCACCTGGACGAGCCAACTCCTTCATCAACGTTATAAAATCATGTTGATTACCACGATCATAATTTAGTTCTAAAAGGAATATATTACAGAAATTTTATGGTCAAACATTTATGGTATGACAGGACCAATAAAAGTCATATAAGATCACACTTACAAAAAAGATGCCTAAGAAAGGCAGATAATGTATAACTTGGATTCTGTTTGCAGTTCTGAACAGTACCGAAAGTTTCTCAAAAACAGTTTAAACTATTTAACGATGAAAGTTTTCGAGCCAAAAATCATGTCTAACTCCAGTTAATTTCATAATTTTTTATTAAATTTCTGCTTTTTATTGATTAAACTGAACGTTGCTTATCATTCCAATTACAGCATCAATGTAATGAAAAATTACTGAAAAGGTTTCATCAAGAAAACTTCTGAAACTCGAGCACGATATTTCCTGTTTACATATCATGGAAAAAAAACCGGCCATTTGCTGCAGAAAGCTAACAGTACAAAATTATAAAAAAAAAAAAAAAAAAAAAAAACAACACACCAATTTGTCCAATAAATTCAATTCTTATCCCTTGATGATCAAATTTCTTCTTCACTGCAACTCCCACAGTACCAGATATTGTTTCACCATCATAAAATAGAAAATGCGTTTCTTGTCCCCCTTCTTCACAACGTATTTTGGCTACCTAGAATAACCATTCAGCTACCCAAGGAACAAAACCACTGCAAGGGCTGAGCCGGTGATCGAAACCGGGACCTCTCGCACCCGAAGCGAGAATCATACCACTAGACCACTCAGCCACACCGTCCAACTCCTACAAATCTCATCTCAATGCAATCAAACCTCGGTAAGTCTTCAACGAGCACGAAGAAAAAAAACAAGTAACCAACTTTCCTATTGTCTGCATCATCTAATTTAATCGAAATTTCTGCAGCTTGACCAAATCCAAAGAAAGCCTAAAAGATAGTTCCTTTTTTTCATCGACATGACATATATAGTTTTCCTTATAAGCCATAATACAACAATTTTATGAGACTATTATTTATATTTATATGCATCTTGAATATACATAAATAATTGTTAAACTTTTACCATTATGAAAGATCGTTTCCAAATATTTCCAGCTTGGTAATGATAGATTTGATAATACTTATAGTAAATTTATAAATATATAAACATATTAAACTGAAAGCTGTAAAATACATCATACAAAAGATCATATGAAATCTATCAAATATTTCCAGAACACTCAACCATAAATTGATAACTTGAAAAGAAGCATAAATGAACATAAGTAATTTATTCATCTTGATAAATCATGTAATATAGTTAAACTTCTTCAGAAAATTTAAAGTTCATGAAGTTTATACTTGATAGTAGCGAATCAATCACTGTGCAATGAATTGAGCTAAAATCTCCAAATTTTTGTGAATTTATCTAAGACAAAACTGATATATAAATTATTAATATAGCACTGATACTTATTAAAATAATTCGAACAATTTAATGAATTAAAATATTGCAGAAATCATACTGTAGTCCCTATCCCATGTAGATTATAAAAAAACCCCCAACCCCGTTGCACCTCCAACTCCCAGCCACCCTCCGCTCTCTTCCCTTTTACCATACCGACCAGACAGATCTAAGCTTACCCATGAAACAACTAGCAAAAATGCGGTCCAAAGCGTTATTGTGCAGTGCGAAATGCAAAACTTTTGCTTCAACACATATACAGCATATAATTTTATATTTCATTTATGTATGTTAAACTGTTTTTTTTAATTTTAATCACACACTGAGGTGACTTTTCTTTGTATTTTGAATGATTTCTAAAGAAATCTGTTAACGTTATATTAAAAATTGTACTTAAGCTATCATAACACTTAGGTTATCAACCAACTAACTAACATAATTAGAATGATGAATTAGATTCGTTGAACTTTATCTTTTTACAAAAATAATTATTTAATGAAGCAATGGAAATTTAAAATACAATTGATAGATTATTCGTTTTCTTAGCTTACTTAAACTTCAACAAATGATTTTCTATATATAAAAATGAATTGTCTATTTCATATTATATATTTCCTATTTTCATATATATTCATACTATATATTTCATAAATATATTTCCGTATATATTTTTCTATTTATTCTACATTGTTGCCTTATTATTTTAGTAAATTTTTGAGCCTTATATTGCTTATGTAGAAATAGACGAAATTATCATATCATTTCATCTTTTTTCGGAGGAAAATTTCAAATAGACCAGGAATGAAATTTAAAAACTTGCATGAAAGAGTAAGCATTATAATCTAGTTGTCTGATATTTAATCATTTTGTTATTTCATCGAATAGATCGATAAAGGAAAAAAGGCGAAAACAAATTATTCCTTTTCCTCGAAACATCTAAAATTTTTAACATATACTTGTTTTCTCCCTCTCTCTCTGTTTCTTCTCTCTTTCTATTTCTGTACTTCTTCTATCTTTTTATTTATTGACTTTCAATTTTTTGTTGTTTTGTATATTTTTTGTTTTATACTATTTTTCCTTTATAAAGCTCTAAGATGCATAGAAATTTCTGAACAGCTTCGTTTATATTTAAATATTTCATTGTTTTAGAAATATTTAATAAATTTAAAACATTAATTTACAAAATTTGCATATGTCTAGAAGATGCATGATAGAATTTTTTCCATTTTTCATATTGATAACTTTAATCACAAGCTATATATTATCAACAGAATACACCAATTACCATATCAGCAAATTACAATATCACAGCGCAAATGGAATATAATATTAATCTTATTTTAATAATATTATAACAACAAAAGAATTCTATTTGAATGAAAAAATTTCAATGTTAAACTTGAAATTTAATATCTAGTAAGCTAGAAAATTTCAAATATTGCTATGTAATGCTAAAATATTTTGTTTATTCTCAAAATATTCATTTCAAATTTTATTGCTTAAAATTATTATGAAAATTTTATTACTATCCAAAAAAAAAGATGAAAGCACAATATACTTTGAATAAAATTAGGCGCAAATGTATTTTCACATTTTGAAATACTAACAAAAACATACAAATATTTCAATTATAATTTAAATCAATAATACCCGAGAAAAAAATTTTTTGCTTAACATAAAAAATACACACAGTAAACGAGATCCAACAAAAATAGCAAAACTATTAAATGATATTAAATGAAACAATTATTAATAGTAGCAATTGAATTTAATCATTTCGCTAAAAAAAAAACTGGAAATTTTGAAAAACTTTTGACCAGAATGGACTTAATCAGTAATAATTGTCAATAACATTTTACATTCCAAATTTTCTAATAGCATTAAAAGTTGTTTTAGAAAATAATTAACAATACTGTTTCATTCTTAAATTTACATCAAGAAAAATTCTAACTTTAAATAGCCAATAAATACAAAATGAATTTTCTCATACTTAAATTTTCTCCCAATTTTCTTAAAATGAATTTTAGCACTAAATGTAATTGTTATAATGAAATGCAGCAATTGTAGTTGTAAAGAAATGTTTCTTTCTTTTTTCATCCATTTTTAAATTTAACATTATAAAGTCATATAATTTCATTTTTTTTAATTTCAACTAACCCAGGAATATCACCTTTTTTAATTTTTTTTTCAACGGTAATAGTAATAATTACTAATGAGAAAAAAAATACAGATGAGGTCTTTTAGTAAGCATTGATAATAAGGCACTGAAATTTGGCTAATGCTTGTTAAATATGCCAGTGAAATCGTTTATTAATAAGTTTAAAAAATTCCTCATTTTGTGGACGATAAAAATTTGCCAATTTTTGAATAACATCTAATCGTATATTTGGATGAGCGCGGCCTTTTGTTTTTCCAAGACAATGCAATGTATCATCTTTACGTAATACACATGGAAAACCTTTTAATGGATCTGTTGCAAAATTTGATTGTCGAACAACTATAATAATTTATTTCAAAAATTTTTAATTTAATATAAAATTTTTTTTAGCAAAAAGAAAAAGAATAATAAGAATATAAAATAAATATAACCTAATAATAATAAATTAATATAGTTTAACAATGATTAATTTTATTATAATATAATTTTTTTATGCTATATGAAATAACTGTAATAAAATTACAGTTATAGTTTTATGTGGCAAATGTAAAAAAAAAAAAAAAAAAGAAATTAATGATATTAATTCAAAATTTTAGCTCATAATTTTATCATAAATCGAAATATTGGGCAAAAAAAAGCTTTTTTAAAATAAATTCAGTCATTTATTCTACCTGGTTTAACAGTTAAAAATCGTTCAACAGCATAAATTTCAGCAGCAGGATTTGTAATCAATCGTTCACCATCCACAAAATGAATTTGATGAAGCGGAAAATGTTGAAGCCATCGCCGGATATGTCGATGATAAATTCCAATTCGAATTGCACCCCATGAAGCATTAACACCATTTTTCATACCTTTAAATATTAAACTTTCCGATTAATTTTTTTAAATCTTACTTTCTTTAAATCTTATTTTTAAAATCTTTCTAAAAATTTCTAATATTAACTAGTTGCTTTTTTTTTTCAATTAATAATAATTGAAGCACCAACCGGTCGCATTTGATGAGTTATTGCCAAGTACCATTTCTTCAAAACTTGGCATCAAAATATTTCGTCTTTTTTTGCTAATTGTTTGTGTATAATCTAAAATTAAAAAGAAAAATTTAAACAAAACTATGAAAATTATATTAGAAAATTTAAATCAGCAAATGAATTATTAAAATGGATGTAAATAAAATATATTATTATTGAAAAGAAAAATTGCAAATTTTTATCTAAAATTATGTTTAAATTCTATAACTAATTGTTGAGAATTTTAATACTATTTCAAAATAAAATATTGAACTAAAATTTAATAAAACGATTACCTGATATAGCTCTGGTAATGGGATTTCGTACAACAACAATTAATTTAATTGTTGAATTTAAACTATGAACACGTCCGGGAGCTGTTTTGCTAACAAAATATGCCGGTGTTTTTTCCACTGTTATTTCTGTAATGCTTGTTTCTGGCATTCTATTTCTGAAATATTTTATAAAATTTTAAATAATTGATGCATTTTTTATTACTAGAACAACTTATATCAGTAATAATTTAATTTTTCTTTTCACTCTTTTATTGATTATTTTCTTTTTAAGAAAAATTAAATTTTAATATTAAATCAATATGATTTGCAGATGTTTATAAGCAAAAAATAAAAATAAAATTTTATATTAAAATAGAAATTGATGAAATCTCCATTGAATATTTTATTGTTTACTAAAATTTTAACAATTTATTTTTAAATAATTTGAAAATATAGTTATGAATTTTTAAAATATATTTATGTTTGAGTAATTTTAACTTTTTTATTTTCAACGATTATATGAATATACAATCGTTTATTTCATTTCAATAATTCTTTTATTTCTCTTGTCATATTTCTCGCTTTTTTTTTTTGCCATTATTATCTTTCATTTTGTAATTTGAAATATTTCTCTTAAAAAAAGAGAGAAAAAAAAAAGGAAGAAAGAAAGGGAAAGAGAGAGCAAAAATAAGGTAGTTAGATACAATTTAATAAGATGAAGCATGATTTGCACAAAAAAAAAGGCAAGAAAAGATATTTTTAACATATAATATTAAGGATATAATTTATTGAAATAGTCATTTGAAACAATAGGGTAAAATTGATAGACAAATCATTTGAGATACGTATGAGAAATAAGATTGTCAGTTAGTTGTCACATTTCAGGTTGACAGTATGTCGGTCACTTCAAAGACAAAAGTTTGACATTTACCCAACGTTAGGGGTCATCAACCAATCATCTCTTTTTAACAGTAAACGAACCCTACAGTTACCCGTGAATATGATGTAACTGATACTATCCTTTACATCTTCTCTATTTCTCTTATTTCTTTTTTTAAAAAAAAAATTCTTTTGGTATTATCTTTGTCTTCTTTTCGTTTCATTTTTTTCGCCTATCTTTTCTTTCTCTCTCTTTAATATTTACCCGTACAAAGCCGCCCTAAAATCACTCTTATTATGTCCATGCGATGTTCATCAAAAACTCCCTGCAAAATCTTACCTCTTTAATTACGTCACAATAAGTTTGCTACGCTATATTTTCATCTAATTAACGATTATTTTATTTGGTTACTGTTTGATTTTATTAATAATACTACGATTATCTCAGCATCATATTATGATTATTATCAATTTTATTGCTAACACTATTATTATTATTGTTATTATTATTATTGTCATTATTATTATTATTATTATTATTAATATTATAACTCTGAAAATATTATTAGAATATTTTAATCATTATTGTAATTATTATTACTGTAATTAAACAAAAATTTTAAAAAGAAGAAAACAGAGTTATAATATTGCAAATGATTTTTTTTTAGACTAATTACTTCAGTTTCTGTTTGTTGTTTTCTTAAAATTTAAAAAAAAAATATTAAATTTTTTTTAATAGTTTTTTTAAAAAAAAAAAAGAACGATAATTTACGGTAATACTAGCATTTACGATAAGTATTTGATGAGAAATGAAAATTGGAATGCATTTCAATTGAATGAATTGGCAGTTTGAGAACAAATTTTCAGTTTAAGCCTATATATTTTGCACTAATTCAATTTATTGCAGTAAGAGATGGATTAAGATTGGTTGTAATGAGAATAAGTGAATAAGATAGCAATTTTGTAATTTGAAGCTAATTAGCAATTAGAGCTATTTCGTTTCATTCTCATCTGATAACAAGCTATTTCATCTAGCTATCTTTTAGATTTCGTCTCCTTATTTAACCAAATTTCATTTACACTTCTAACCATAAATTTTCACTCAATATTTCCCTTTTTTTTATTTCATCCATTTTGTTGTCTTTGGTAGTATTTGCATTATCAAAATCGAATTTTTAATTTTACTGAAAATTCTCCAGAGTGAAACTTTTACAAAATGATCACACGTTGACCAATAATGCAATATTGTCAACAATGGAATGGAATTAGGATGACGTATTAATTATATATATATATATATTATCTTACGATGACATATATATAATATATATAATATATATAATATATATATTATATATATATTTCCTTTTTTTAATATATATATACATATTATCTTACGATGACGTATTAATCTTTAAAAATTTACGAAAAATTTCAAACACTTTGAATTACAACATTTCATTAATAAAAAAAAAAAAAATTGAAAAAATGAAAAAAATGAAAAGGAAATCTTTATTTGCATGAAATAAAAAAAAAGAGAGACATTGGAACGATAAAAATTGTTAAAAAATGAAAGAATTTTTAACAATCTTTTTTCTTTTTCAATTTTACATATTCACAAGTTTTATAAATTTTATTACATTTTCATTTTGGAAAATAATTTTCCATTTTCATTTTGATGTGGAAACTTCCTGAATAATAATCATTTCGAATGTTTATCAAATGATGGATAACCTCAAATAGCAATGCAAGTGACCCCTTATCCTTTTTCCTTTCTCCCTTCTCCTTCCTCTTCCTATAATCATTAACTCCTACCCAAACAATAAACAATACTAGTTAATAAGAACTATACGTGTGTGTGTGTGTGTGTGTGTGTGTGTGTGTGTGTGTGTGTGTGTATGTGTGTATCTCTGTTTAATTGCCTAACGAAGTGCAGCGAAATTTATCGGAGTAAATAATTTGAGTGCTAACAAATTCTTTTTAATATAAAATGATTGGTATGGGATGTCAAGAACTGACAAAACTGCGAAAATGCGCCTGTTATTATCTGACAAAGTGTACCAAACTTCACTTTTCCTACGAATCAGCTGTTATATTCAACAAATTAATTAGTGAAGGTTAATTAACAAATAATGATGCCTCACTTCATTTTAATTTAGCATTTATTTACACTAAATTTCAATCGTTGTTTTAAAAATGAAACCGGAGATTTCAAGTAGCATATTAAAAGAATGAAATTTATTTAAACAAATTTGAAAATAAAACTGTAATTATGAAATGATTAACTGTTTTTTAAATTTTTATTTAAAAAAAAGAACAAGATTAATTGTAATTAAGAATTGCTTGATTAATCAACTTTTGTCAAATTAAAATTCATTATCATTTTTTTTCTTTTTAGCATATAGGATTATTGTCTAATAATTAAAACTTTTTTCTCGTCATTTTATTTTTGTTTCACTCCTACATCTCTGATAGCCATTATTAAATTATTTGCATATCATATTAATTAATTATTCATTTATTTATTTAATTAGCTATCAAATAATTCTAGTCATGCCTTATTCCATATGATAAATTATAGCTAATGTAATTTTCAAATAATTATTATTTTTATCTTCGTATTTTACATTCATATCATAACATATCATTTCTGTTTCATTTCCTCTTATCACTATCATATTTAAACGTTCCTTTCTTTTTATTGTAATTTTTGTTCTTCTAAATAAATAAAGTTCAAATTTCAATTTGACAATACTAGGAAGAAATGATGAAGGTAAGAAATGAAAAGGTTATCGATAGATGAAATGATAAAGATCTTAAGTTTGAAGGACCGCAATCCGAAACTCGCACTAAATCTCATGTAAATAAATGATCACATTTGTCAAATGAGTATGATTATCTCAAATAGTGATAGTATGACAATTGACAGTTAACAGTTTCACACTGCGGACAATTTAAAAAAAGAAATGGGTTAGAAAATTATATTTTAGGATAAATTTACGAAAATGTCCTTAATTAAATATAAATCATTTAAATTATACCTTTTTATTTCTTCCACTTTTCTTCTTCCATCTTTTTTCATCCTTTCATTTTATTTCAATCTTTTTCTTTCATTTTTTTTTTCAACACCAATTTTTTTAATTTTATTGTAATATTTTTAACAAACTTTTTTCCCTACTATTTTTTTTCACCTCCATCTTTTACCTCATTTTTCTCGCATTTTTATTTGTATTTTTTTACTATTTCGTTTTCTCTTTCTTTTTTTTTCTTTGAGTGGATTGAAGCAAATATTAGATAGACTATCTAAAAGCGATCCATTTAGTACACAGATATGAAGACGTATACATTTACCATCTCATTTGATGACCATTTTTATTTTTCACCAAGTATATGAAATAATTTCAAAAAAAACAATCCGCTTAAGTGCACATATACACATAAATACATATATATACATATACTCATAAAATATATACATGCATATATACTCATAATATATATATATATATATATATATATATATATATAAATAATATTTTATTATCCTTACTGCTCTTTTTTTCTTCTATAACGTTTATATTTTAAACATCAAAAATTGGATTTAAAAAAATATTTCAAATTATATTTTGCGCAATTATTTTCTCCCCAAAATTTCAAATCTTTTGTGAGAAAATATAAAACAAAATTCAATTAAAATAATGATTTCTTCGTTACCTTTCTTTTATTAATTTATTTTCATAATATTATGGAGAAAGAAAAAAAAAAAAAAACGAAGAAATAAACATTATGTTTCATTTGGAAAATAAATAATTTTTTTTTTCTTTCTCTAGTCCATTTTTTTTAAAAAAAAAGACAAAGAAATAGATGATAATAGAAATTTCATGTTACAAATTAAAAGTTGGACAATAAAAAAAGTTTCAAATCGTTCCCTTCTGTTTTTTTAAATTAATGTTGTTGAACGGAAAAAATGTTAACTGAATTAAGATAAAAGGGTAAAAGTTTTTCTAGTCGTATTTTTTTCAAAACAAAAAAAGAAATAAAATTCAAAGAAGTTTTTAAATGATTGTCGTTTAATAAATATTTTCAAAACGAAATTTAATCATTAAAACAGATATAACTATGAATTAATATTAATTGCACAACATATCAATTGTTAACATGGATCTATAATATGAATTTTTAAATTCGTACATTTATATGGGATTGTTTAAAAATTAGAACAAAAGGATTAATTATAACTTATTATCGCTTATCCAGCTTTAGTTAAAATTGCTATTTTCATCTCTCAAATTCTTAATTTTGAATTAGCATTGTTCTGATATTGTTCTAACCATTCTTCAAGTTATAATAGTCAAATTCTGCTTTAGTAAAATAGAAATAATAATAGTGATAGCAAATAATAATAACAATAACAGTATTAATAAAATTATTATTAATGCTAATATTAACATGAATAATAATAGTTATAGTAACAATAGTTAGAAATGAATAATAATAATAATAATAATAATAATAATAATAATTCTTAATCATCAACAAATTTTTTTACTTCATTTTAGGAGGTAGGGGTAATTAAATTTTACATTTTATAAATCTTTTAAAGTCATAAAAAATAAGGAAATATGAAACAGTTAAAATTTAACAAAAAAATTTGTGCTAAATTAATATCAATAAAAAACATTAAGCATTTAACAATTACCATTGTATGACAAAAGTAAACTATTTTTCTTTTTCATGTATGAAGTAAACTAATTATATTAGTACAATAAGAATTAACTTTATTTATTGCAAAAATAAAAACGAAAAAGAAATTCTTTCATGAACATAACAACAAAAAAAAAAAAAGAAAATGAAAAGAATGAAAAAAGTAAAATGTGAGGGATGAATAAGAACATGAGAACGGGAAAGGATGAGTGAAGCTAATGTGAAATCGTTAAATTTTTAATGTTAATGTATCGTTTCCACAAAAAGAAAAAAAAAAGAGAGAGAAAAGAAAATGATCAAATGGAATGGAGTTAATATCAATAAAACATGAAAAACGGAAATTATATGAATAAATTATTCAGAAATAATGATTCGTTGAATATGTAATAGCTCAACACACCCATTAATAATTCATCACTTAATCAATTTCAAAAATAATTATCATTAGCAATTGCATTCTTTGATAAAAGAAATTTAAAATTAAAATATGCTTGAATTTAGCGTAGTAGAAGAAAAATTTTTTGTTGTTGTTTTAGAAATGAATAAATAATGAATAAAAATTAATTTCATTCATTTATTTTGACGTTTATTAATTATAAAATTTTTGAACGTTTTTTGTTTTCTCATTCTTTTATTTAATATTTCTAATAGAAAGAAATGATAATAATATTATTAATATTTGTTTTAAACTGTATCATTTGCAATTAAATAGCAAACAAATAGCTTTCAATGGAAACAAAATTTTTAAATTATTTCAAAAGCTCATTTTTTTAAAAAATACATTGGAATGTTTTATTTTTCAGAAATGTAGATGAAAAGAAAAATTGAAAAGGCTTTAATGGGTAATTTTCGATTATGCAAAATATATAAATAGCAACTAAAGTGCACCAAAAAAAGAAAAAGGAAAAAAAAGGAAAGAATAAATTCCATAACAACTACCATTTATTTATCTAATTATTTAGTTTATTATTATTATTATTATTATTATTATTATTATTATTATTATTATTATTATTATTATTATTATTATTATTATTATTATTATTATCATTATCATTATCATTGCTATTATTATTGTTATTACTATTATTATTACCATTATTATTGCTATTATTATTAGTGTTTTTGTTACTGTTCTTGTTATTATTTAAAAAAGAAGACTCAAAATAATTTATTACTTTTTATAGAAGAGATATTTTCTTCCTTTTCATTTACTCACTTTTGCTTTTCCTTTTTTTCTTTCATTTATCTACTTGCTTATCTTTTCAAATCTGATTTTTTAATTCGTTAATAGCAATTTCAGTGTGTCACCACTATAATAATATATCAGATTTATGACAAAAAAAGCAATAAATCTAAGTACTTTATTTCCTTTTAGCTTTTTTTTTTTGCTTTTCTTGAATTTTTTTTCTGCCCTCAAAATGAATGCTGGGAAAATGATTTAGAAAGTTTGAAATAAGTCTATTAACAAAAGATAAAGTCATTATAAATGTAAGAAGAAGATGAAAAAGAAAGTATTTTTATGGTTAAATTAAACAAAATTCCCCTAAAGAAAAATTTTTGATTCATTTTTTTTCTTCTCTCTTCCTCTCTCCCACTCTTTTCTTTTAACTGTAAAAAATTAAATAATCCTAATTAAAGATATTAAAAACAATGAAGGAGAAGGCAAGCGAAAGAACTGATGAGAGGGAGAGAGGGAAAATAACAGATTTGTCAAATTTTTGAACTTTTCTTTTTCTTTTTTTTTCGCTTAAAATTGACAAATATATCAGGTGAAAATAAAAAATTTAAAGAAAGAAGAAAAAAAGAAGAGTTGAAAGAGTAATAGCTGAAATTAGTGAATAAAATTTATTTATTTTTTCATTTATAAATTGTTTTGTTCACCATTTCTTTTCCCCATATACTATTGTGTACTGCTAAATGAGTTTAATGATAAGTGCAGCAGCAAGTTAATAGGTCTTTTCACGAGATTAATTTTTAAAAAAAAAAATGGAAAAAAGAAGAGGAAAAGAAGGAGAAATGAAAAGAAAAGATAAAAAAATCATTTTTTTTTTTTTGAATTAGGTCAAAAATTAAGAATTCAAATACGTCTAGTCAATTGAACTTTAGAATAATCAATTTTAAATTGAGACAATCAAAAAATATGCTTTAAGTAATGTCTTTCAAGTATCATCGAGTTTTTAATGCTAATCAAAAAATTTAATTCATCTTTTATAGAGAGAAAAAAAGAAAAGCCAAAATTAAAAAAAAAAAAGGAAAGGAAAAGGAAAAGAAAAAGAAAAAGGACAAATATGTATTTAAATATTGCTGTTCTTGTTTTAATGTCGTTTAAATTAATAAAATTAATTTTGAAACAAAAAATTAAAAGTTTCACAACATATTTTAACTTGAATTATTTTCTCCTTTCAATAAAACATTTATTAAATTAAATTCCTACATATTTTTATATTTGCTCCAACTAACATATTTAAACTGATTTTTTTTCAAGAATGGAAGAAAAAAAGAAATGAAAAAAATCAATAAAACTACGTACTTCATTAATTTTAATTTAAGACCTTATTTCAAAGATGGTAAAAGATTTTTTATTTATCTTTTTTTTGTACAAACAATAATTATTTAATTGAGTTTCAGTAACATTCTTTGTGAATAAATGAATACAAAAAGAAACGAATAAATGTTAATAATTTGTTAAATAATTACTCATACAAAAAAATTTTTTTTATCATTATTATCCGTTGATAATATATGTAAATAGTTCATTTCAGTTCAGATTAACAATGAATCTTTTTTTTTTCAGTCAGCGCAAAATCTGTTTATTTCACATTTGATTTTGTCATAAATATATTACATTTTTCATTGGGTCTAACTGCTTCATTCATCATTTGAACAACAAAAAATAAATAAATAAAAATAAAAATTCATGCCAATTAAATTTTTGATATAATGCAAATTCGAAAAATGGAAAAACTTTTTTCTCGTTAAATGAAAATTTTTATGTCAAAAAAATTTATGGAACAAATTAATTGAGATGCGATAATCAATTTAGATATGCCTGATTGTGAGATATTCAAGAAAAAAAAAATGCTATTATTTTTACTCTTAATACATACTAAATTTAATAAATTTTGAATTACAAAAAAAAATTTTTCATAAAATATTAAATAAGATATTATTAATAATATAATAATATGAGTAAATATGCTATTATTATAGTTTCTTACATATTACATTAATAAATTTTAAATTAAAATGCTTCTTTAAAAGAAAAAAGGAAGAAAGAAAGAAAGAAAAAACGAAAATAGGAAAAATATTAAATGGAAGAGCAAAAAAAGAGAAGAAAAGTAAAGGTGTAGATATTAGTGTTAAGTAAATATATTCAAATAAAATATAAATAAATGATGTAAAAGTATGTGAATAGTTGCGTATACTAAAATAATTGATCGTCTTACAGTAATCTTAGCCAAGTGGTACTTGTAAATTTACAAATGGTATTTAAGAAAGGCTATTAAGTGAAGTGGAAAAAGAGGGAAGGAAAAAAATAACGAAAGTGATAAAAGCGGGAAAAAGAAGAGGAAGAAAAAAAAAGGAGAGAGGAAAATTAGAGAAGAAAAGAGAAAATCCTGAAATTAATCATACGAAATGTTTGAATTGTTCAAGAAGGGTGAAAAATAAAAAGGATCAATGACGCCACATGTAACAAAGGAAATTGAAACCATCGAATGATGATGATGATACTCCATGTTCATTAAACCATAACTCATTATTAGAAAAAATTCATTGAATTAATCCATCTGCTACCCAAAAAAAGAAAAAAAAAAGATTTGTCCGTTGCTAAAATTATATCATTTTTCATTAAAAATTTCTATTCATTAAAACAATATAATTCTAAAAAATTTTTATTTCTCATACAAATATATTTAATTTGAAATTCTAAAATTAAATAAGTAAGAAATATTTATTCATTTATTCACTCATTTACTTATTTACTTAACAAAAAAAAATTTCTGTCCATATTATGCTATTGTTTTAATTAGAATTGGCATATTATAAGTGGAATGCAATATAAAATAGAGTTAACAGATGAAGATATTCACTTGATGACAAACTATTTACTAATAATAAACAAACAAAATAAAATTGTTTTATGGAATAAATGAAGTTGTTATTACTATTATTTTCATGATTAATAGTAATAATTATTATCACTATTTTTTTTAAATTATTTGTTTTTATCATGGGATTATTTTAGGAAGAGTCTTGTAAAAAAAAAAAAAAAAAAAATCTTCACTTTTTATATTACTTAGTCATAATAGTTATAATAGTAATAATTAATTAAACTAATTTTAATATTACCATTGGAATATTTTGTATGCAAAGTAAATTGATAAATTTTGTATCAAAGAAAAGAGAAGAAAAGGACAAAAAAGCAAACAAATAAACAAACAAAAAACAAACCGATACCAACCGAATCCTTTGTCGAAATTTTTATCAAAAAAATGTACTTCTGGTCCAGGTGCTTTAATTGCTGGATTAAGACGAAGAAATTCCAAAAGTGCTCGTGTACCAGCTTTTTTAACACCAATAATAATTGCTTGCGGAAAGCGCTTTTGTACTATCATTGCGGTATCATTTACAATTATATTCATACCGTATACTGTTGGTAATTTATGATACGTATAAATTAGAATAATATTGCAAATGAAATAATACATAAATGAAATAGATACCAGCATATTAGCATTGTATAATTTACCTATAAAAAAAGATTATTGACTAATCAGTTTAACTTAATTTATTAGTTATCAACAATAAATTTATTCGATTAATGTAATTTTCTAAAATTATTCATCTCTTATCATTTCTTATCACTCTTTTACTTTCCAGATCTATTTATTCCAAATATCTCTCCCTCACTTTACCCCTTTTTTTAACCTTTTTCATTATTATTAATAACTTCTCAAGAATATAATTAACTTCTACTAGTATTACTATCAGCTACCACTGACAACTACCACCAACTAACTATCATTGCATTGGGCGTTCCCGAATCGTTATACTCTTCAATGGATCCAAAATTAAACTAATTTCTCCTTTCCCTCTCTCTTTTTCTCTTCCTCGCATTTCTCCTTTTCCTACTACTTCTTATTCTTTACTCTTACCTTCTCCTTCTACTAATACTACCTTTTTCCCTCCCCTTTTTCCCCCTTCGGCACTTAATATCCTATCCTACCTTGCTTTTTCACTTCTTTTTCTATTTCGTGGTGAATTTAAATTTTTATTTATTTATGCGCAAAAAGTAAACAGATATTCATCCCTATTATATGTGATATATTTGCAATATATTAAACATAATTAATTTTTGAATCAGTCAATAATTTCTCAACCTAGAAAACAATGCGTAACTTATTGAAACATATTAGGTTAATCTGATGTATACAAATTAATTCAAATATAACTAATATTCTTTCATCTCAAACTTTTTATTTAAATTTTAGTTTGTTTTTATGTGCTAGAAAAAAGGTGAATTTGATCATTATCAATTATATTGAAATATATTGATAATAAATAATTAACTAAACTTCAAATTATTTTAAAATTTATTATTATTCAGATTAATAGGAACAAAATGACTCAAAATTGAATGAATATCACTAAATAATTAACATGAAAGAATTTTTTTTTTTTTTTTTGAAAGAAGTGCAAGATTTTTTTCTAAAGCCAAAAATTTAGTCATACATTGAAATTCATACTTTTATGAAATTATTTGAATTTTTCATTCCACTTCTGAACACTGCAAAGGAAAGGAAGAAAGACGGAAAGAGAGAGAGAGAGAGAGAGGAAAAGACAGTAAAAAAGAAAAGAAATTAATGAAAAAAGCAATACATTAGTTTGAAATGAGAAACGGGAAAGGTGAAACAAAAAAAGGAAATAGGTAAGGAAAAAAGTAAAAAGGCTCTAAATAGCAGTGGAACCTAATTGAGTTTGAAAATTTTTTGAATTTGAAATTTCCATTTTTTTCTTCCTCTTCCTTTCCTTTTCTCCCTCTTTTTGTTTAAATTAACACTTGAACAGTTATCATGAAATTGGAAATTTTTTGCTTAAACTTTTTTGTCAAATATTAGATTTTCCATGAGAAAAAAAAGTTTTCCAGTAATTTGCGAATCAGTTTTTTAAAAAAAAAAATCCTTCCTGTTTTTCTAAAACCAAAAATGACAGGTGGCACTCGATAACACTGCTTTTTTTATTCAAAGATTTAAAAAATGGGAAGAATAAAGAAAAGAAAGGATAAAGATAAAACGAAGAAACAAAGTTAAAAAAACCCAAGTTCTAATTAAAATGTATTAAAAAATGTGATTGACACTTATTTTCTCGTTCTTTTTTTCTTTTATTAACCAAAAATTAAGTTAATAATTCTATTTAAGACTTTTTTATTAATTTGATTAGTGCTACAATATTTAACCTAAATTGATATAATAATTTTTTGAAATATGTAAATCATATAAGCATAGTACGAGCGCATATGTCGAAATCAAATCAACAAACCAGCAAAAATCAAATTCTTGTTCTAATTTTATATTAGCAATTAATTGGTGCAATTAGATAGCCAATTAGATATATTTTTATTCTGGTAATATTTAGTTAAGTTAAAAAAATTGTGTCAATATTGATTTAGCTATACAATCTAATATAATCAATATTAAATAAATTCAATTAAATTAGCCATGTTTGTTAGTGTAAAATATACGTGTTATGACTAAATACAATTGTTTACTAAATAATCGAATATAAGTGTGACATTTTAGGAAAAGCGAAAAAATAAACAATAAAAGTTATCAAATAGTAAATTTTACTGGTTTATAATTTTCAAAAAAAAAAATTTTATATATATTTTTTTAAGCAAAAAAGGAACGAAAATTTTAAAGTCAAAGTGATATTAGGCATGTAATCTTTTTTTGTTTTCGGATAGCCAAATGATAAATCATTTTTTTTTTTTTTGTTACTTATTAACTAACAATTATTACGTAGCTTTTGAACCACTTTTCTGATTATTAATTCAGAATGAATTAATAATTACTTGACTATAGTGAAAATTTAGGCGAAATAAAGATAACAATCCTTTTGGATCCTAAAATAATTTTATCCTAATAATATGATCATGTAACATTAGCCAAAAATGTGATTAATCCTTATAGTAATTATTACCTATTATCCAAATTAGAAAAAAAGAAAAAAATATCAGATATAATTTTGCTTAAGATGAAAGAAAAAAACTGTAATCAAGAAAAAAGATCGTAATTAATCAATGTTTCGATTTACTTAAATTAAATTACGTTTGTAATTTGGTTTTTTTTTTTTTTGACTTAATCATTAAATTGTACTCTACCATACTTATTAATTCAGGATTATCATTCACTGAAGATAAACTATGATTGTATCTTACAAAAATATAAAAATACAAATACATCTTAGAGGAACATAAATTGTTGTCACAATTTACAAAAATATGAATTATAAATTAAAATTATGTCGTATGGAAATTTAAATTTTTATAATAATTATATGGTATAATTATGACAGTAATAATTTGAATAAATTTATTTGTTAATTTCTCTATATCTGAATTTTTCCTTTGTTTTCTTTTGATATATTAAAATTACAATTAAGCAATTTGACAACGAAAGACAATCATTGACTGTCCACCATAATTAGATATTTGTGATAGCTTCTGACAGTAAATAGAATATGATATATACATATATATGTATATATATATATGCGTGCATGTGTGTGAATTTGTATGTGTATGTGTAGAAGAGATCAATGTTGGAAAGGTAACAAATTGATGAAAATGGAATCGGATGTTCGTTTTATGATCGTTTAAATGCCTCTGGCTGTTCAGTTCTACATAATTGCTTTTTTTTAAATCTTTTTTTTTCTCATCGTTTTTATTGGTAAATGTGATAACAATAATGTTGCAGGCAGAATTACTCCAATTATTTTTTGTTAATTTAATTAAAGTTAATTTAAAATTTCAACTTAAATATTATGTTCTTTAATGTTGTGTGCAACCTTTTTTTGGGGGTTTTTTTTGGGCAAAAAAAAAAAAATTAGTATTGAAAGAAGGAATAGTTTAAATTAAATTAGCACATGTAATGGAAAAAGCATTGCTATATATACAAGTATAAAATATTAAACAAGATGAATCTAATTGATAGGATAATAAAATGAATGTGGCATAAGACTGGTTAGCATAATTTTAGGCAGATGGTGAAAGGCTAGTTACCATGGTACTGAGTAAATGGGTCAGGTTAGCAAAAATTGATACCATTCTTCTTTTTCACTTCCAGTAACTATTCATTTTATATCTTTCAATAATAATTGCTGTTTAAATAATTTTCTAACAAAAATTTTAAAAAAAAAAGAATTAAATCTTTTTATTGTTAATTTGATAATACAGATGATAGAAAGAATTTAGTCAATTAACTGATATTGACAAAGAAAAGAATATTTCCAAAAAAAGAAGAGAAATTGTCATTTAATAATGAAATTTCTTGCTAATCATTTCTAATAGCAAAATTGAAGGATATAATTAACATAACATTGAGGAATGCTTATAATTATTATTTATAATTAAAAGAAAAATTTTTCTTTGGCACTTCTTCTTTTTTTGTTTTTCTCTTACCTTTTTTTCATACATTGTGCTAATTAGCATTATGAAGGAATAAATATAAAAATATTAGGAAATGGAAATGCATTGAAGCATATTGCAGCAACAGTTAGTGAAAAGAAAGATGTATGGAAACGAATTGTGCATATAATTAGTATTAGATTAACTCATTGTCCTTTTTCATTTTTAAGGTTTTCAAGATAACTATTTCAGGACTGACAAATTTTGCAAATGATTCCTTTAGCATTTCCTATCATTTTCAATATGATATCAGCATCTTTCCATTATCATTATTCTGAGATAAATCTCAGATATATTCTTGTCTTCATCTTTCTCTCTCTTTCTCTCTCTCTCTTTCTCTGTCTCTTTCTCTCTCCATTAATATCATTTTTAATTCCCAAGGGTAAATGAAATTTCAACAGCAAGTCAATATTCATATGTTATGCTAATATTTTATATTATCCCATATATTTTAATTGTTATAGTGATTGGAATAAATTTCGATTTAGTATGCAAATTGTATTGTTTCATTTAATACAGTAAATATGATTGATAAATAATTTTTTGTATTACTGGCAATATAAATAAATAATTCAGTGATAAAAGTTATAACTATATTTAATAAAAAATTTTTTTTCTTTAAATAAAAGAAAATACGTGAAATTCTTATTGAAAATAATCACTCTATTTTGCATAATATGGTATTTGCTTGCTTTATTTGTTTGTTTTTATATACCAAATTAATATTATTATTTTTTATAATTAATTGCAATTATCAGTTAATCAATTGAAACATTTTCCAATATAGGGAAATAATTAATCAAACAAATAAGATTTCATTTTCAGGTATGCATTAAACAAAAGATTAAAATGACTGAGAATTAAAATGAAAGAATTGAAGGCTATTGACCTTGAACATAGCAGCAGCAACAGCAGCAGGAGGGTAAAATTGTATATCACAACTTGTAGCATTCACTTCTTTCATTCCCCAAATTTGATCATTTATTCAAAGGTTTCACTTAAATTTATTTATGTGTCTGATGATCCTTACCACTGATAAATACTAAATGGCCAATAAAAACGGCACATTGCGGTGAAGACATTTCATTCTTTGCTTACTACTCTACCTTCACCTATCCTCCATCAATATTATCCATCATTTCTTCACACCTCTTGGAGGTCATCCTGAGACCAGTCATATTTCAATCATTACCTTCATCTTCTCTCTCTCTCCCCCTTACTTTCCTTTCATCAAGAGAGAAAAAAAAAGTGAAATGAAATTAATCTTTAATTGTTATTGTTACGAATAATATTTTCTTAACAATAATTAGAAAACGAAAAAAGAAAAGGGAGCAAAAATCAAGCAAACTAAAACGGAAATGGATGAATTTTGTTTTTGTTTGAAAAAAAATTTTTTTCAAACAATTTTTAAAATTGAAATAATAGTTTTTATTCAATCTCTTCTTTTGAAAAAATCATTTAAACATAAAGTATTAAATTTCTAATTCATATATGCAAATAAAATCACTAAAGATCGCTATTTAATTAACCAAGCAGCTGTGGAAACAGTTAGCATTTCACATCTAATATGATAACATATGATGCTTTTTAATTTATGACAAACAATTTTAGTTTATTAACATATCATTTTACATTGAAAATAATCAGTCACTAAATCTTTTCTCAATGAATACTGTACCATAATAAAAAAAAAATCATATAAAAGATGGAGAATTAATGATCCTGTAAGTTTTTATTTGAAATGTGTCTGATTTAAAAAAAAAAAAAAATTAAATGGAATTAATTATCCTATTTTAATTAACATTAACTATAAATTTAATGAACATATTCCTGTTTTTTTTTTCTCTCTCTCTCTCTCTCTCTCCTTTTTAAAAATTCATTTAAATGAAAGGAAGCCGCGAAGTGTTGGTGAAGTGAAACGATGAAAAGGATGAATATTAAGAACAACTGCACATTTGCATGATAATTAACAATTGACTTTCCAATTATTGCGTATTTTTCATCGAGCTTTTTGCCGACATTTTGCGCCATAATCCGATGTATGCGTATGTTCTGTTTTGTCTTTACGATTACATGAACCATAAACGAGAACCACTATCATTAACACCTGCTTCCTAATCTTTCTCATAGTCATCATTTGAAACAGGAAGTCTCTATTCATTTAGTGTCATGAAAACAACCAAAAATTAATCATAATTATGATATTAAGCTTCAACTTAATCAATTTATTAGTAGTTGAATTTTGAAAAATTTTTGAAATTATAAAATTTTATAATCAATGAATACTTGTTTTAAAATACTAATGTTTGATGTCCGCTTCCAATAGTTATCATAACATGAGAAATTTTGCAGTTAATATTTATTTCAAATATAAATCAATTGATGAATCAATTCATTAATCAAATACTTAATATAACGTAATTCAACACGTAAGGAATACAATTTCCTACTAATGTGGCATAATTGTTCTATGGAATTTCCAGGAATTAACATTTCAGAGTTATTATGATTTATATTTCTGGAAGGAAACAAGCCTTCATGAATTTCCTCAATTTGCTTCATTTTTTTTCATCCGAAAAATGACAAGTCACTGACAGCACAATATTTATCTAACTTTATAATATATTTCTGAATTCATTTCAATATTACGCAACAAAGAAAAAAGAAGAAGGAAAAAATTTTCAATAAATTTTGTAGCAATTAACGTATAACGTATAAACTTATTTATAACTGATTATTATTAAGTAAAAAAAAAACGCATTATTAAGTAAACGTTGAACATAGCATCTGTTTATCATGCAATGATAAATGTAAATATAATGTTTTCATGTCGATCATTTGTCTTAAAAAGTTAGCCAAAAAACAAAGAAAGAGAAACAAACAAACAAACAAAAACAAAATGTTAAGGTATAACAAAATTTGTTGACGTTTTAGAACAAATCTGAGAAAATTTTTGCATATGGATTTAAAAAAAAAAAGTTCTTACAATAAATATATTAAATAATAACGAATCAGGTAAATCATCCGAAAGATAGAGTTCTAAAATCAGGAAACATGGACTTTTTCCATCCTCCTCTACATCCTATCGTATCGCTTGCGGTTTACAGTAATTTTCATGGTGTTCAAAATTCCGCCTAATCACGTTAGATGACGGTGATGAAATTTGTGATACGTTGATATATGTTAATAGTGGTTACTATGAAATGTAGAAGTTGTTTTCATTTGTTGATTTGGTCATTTTAATTTGTTGGTTTAGTCACTTTGAGTTATTTTAGTCGGTTATGTGATACTGGCTGGATTTCATTATCAGGTATCATAGGTTTGCTTTTTTTTCCTCGAAAATTTTCATCCTGAAATTTTTACTTCATTATGTTGTTGTTTTTTTCTTTTTTTGTTTATGTTTGTTGTTTGAAAGTTTTTGAAAAAATTTGTCTCATAATTGATATAATTTTCGGTTTTATAATCAAGCATTAAATAAATTACTTATTTTACCAAATCAATATAAAAGTTAAATAAAAAGCTAATCCTCAACTTTAAAAAGCTAGTTCTCAAATTGATGGGTTTATTTACCTAAATTTCATATTTTAACATGAGGAACTGGATATTGTTATTAGCAGACTAATTTTTAAAACTGACAATACATAAAATTTGCCAAACTAAAATACAAAGTACAAGGATATACTTAACACATCCTCAGATTTCCACATTATTTTCTAAAAAAAAAATGGCCGTTTATTTGATACCAAATGTGATGATTCAGATATCTCAGGATTTATTTTTTTGAAAAGATTGCATTTGATACCATTATTATTATTATCTTTTTTTTTTTTTTTTGATGCTTACACCTTTTTTGTGAACTGTGGATGAATGTTTAGTGCTGAATATTGCAGATGTATCGTCCCCTTGGTGCACGTCAGAAAGATATTTCTACTAGACTTATGAAACCAACTTGTCCTGATATTAGGATCAAGGATGTGCTTCATTTGGTCAAGAACTGGAATTCGGCATGGGAATTTAATGGTGACATTACTGTAAGTATTGCGCTAATCAGCCTTTCAGCATTAAATAACATTTTTTTTTCTCTTTCTTTTAAACACTTATTAATTCAGTGATCTATGTTCATAAGTAAGAGCTGTGGAAACAGATAGTCGTTTTTTCCTCTATTGTTGTTTAAAGATTTGTTTTTTATTTGAGGTTTTTGATGCTGGAATAGCGCAATATCTACTGGTAGATGATCGGTCGCATGATGTATTCTTTGCTTCACTTATACTCGGAAAGCCAAGTTTGCGCTGTAAATTGGTCAATAATGAGCCAAAAGATGTGCTTGACGAAGAGGCTGAGAATACATTTAATTTGGTGAAAACTTGACGCAAATATTAAATTATTGTTCTTCCGTGAAAAAGTTTTGTACTTCAAGGCAGCAACGAGCATTTCTCATTATGACTTATGGCCAGATATTTGCTAGAAAATTAAAAACTCAGGTTTCCTTATTTATGACCATACAGCGGCGAGTAATGTACATATGCAAGTATCCCTATAAGTCAAGTTTAATGCGATGAGTACAACTGCAGAGAAGTTAATACTGTGAGTGATACTTAGTTTATTGAAATTTCTGATTTTTTTTTTTTTTTTTTCGTCACTGCTTATAATTTTCTGCATAGTGGGAAGATTAAGCATTGCAGGTTGGTGAAAATGAAACCCTAGAAGAAGAGCGCAAAAAAATCGATCATTTGAAAACTGTTTTGAGTCGCAAAGGATATCGTTTTATTGATGTATAAAAGCTACCGTTGAAAATTTAGTGACGGAAAGGAGTGAATGGAGACTTCCAATGCCTTTTTTTTCTTTTTTTTTTTGATGAATTGACGAGCACATTTTTTTGAAACAAATTGCTTAAATTTTTTTACAACTCGGTTTCTTTGTAGTTTGCTGCTAAGATGTCATCTTCTTTATCTTTCCGAATAATTCACTTATCACCAAAATTCCGTTGTTATTCCAGCTCCAGTATGATTATCTTATTTACTGTCCTAGAAGATTCTTTCCTTTTCCATAGCGGTGGATAGATACTGGAAGTAAGCAATAGTTACATTTAAAGAATAGATAGAATCTCTATGACAGCATGGAATCATTTCCATTTTTTTTAGATTTTTTGTACATATATATATATATGTACAATGTATTTACATACATTTGTTCGATTGTGTTTGTTACTGGACAGAATAATGCATTTATTGTGACAATTCACGCATTAGGCGTATTGAAGGAGATGCAGTTCTTTCCCACACAATCGATCACTTGTCATTCCAATGATGATTGTTTCTTTTCAAATTTCATTTGTAATTTCCTTTTATTTTGTTTTCATCTTCCTTTTGGTCTTATCAGTCATGTTTTTCGTTGTCGCAATCGTTTGCGAAGCCATAAAAGAAAAGAAAGAAACTTGAATCTTTCCGATCTGCTTTCTACGCATATACGTGTTGTTGATTACTATTTTGCATAGAATACGTGAACACTTTGTACATATTTGGTGATTGCATTATTTTGGGACAAATATTGTTTATCCAATAACAAGTTTACGAGTACTGTTAGCCACGAAGAGAACGGCGTTTGTTTTCCTTCACTTATTCGTTTTCATTGTTTTTATCATATTACTTTATCTTAAAAGTTATCGGCTGTTATTTAAACCAAATTTTCTGGTTTTAAAACTCAGATGGTAAACCGAAAATGTATTACGATACTTTGCTGGACTTTTAAGATTGCGAATGAGGCAGCGAAAGCATTATTGGTTTTACTGTTCATAAACCGGGACGTTTATTATATGTTTGGATCGGACATATAAACTTCATTAGCACTTAGGAAATATTCTACATTCTACAATACTATCCTTGAACCTTTGTATTATTTGCCAGTACATCTCATCAATATGAAAAATGTGTTATTTTTTACATAATATATATCATTTTGTTTTTTCTTAGTTTCTAGTGTAACCTTAGCTAGCCTCTTTCTAAATACTGTCCTTACTTCAACCTGTGTGTACTTTGTTATTCTAATTTAGTTTGATGGTATTAGCAGCGTTTCTTTTTTCCTTTTTTTTTTTTTTTCATTAATCGACGAAATCCTCCCGCTCACTCATTTGATCAGTAACTGACAGTATTTTTTTTTAAAATGATTTGTCCAGGATGTTTTCAGCAGTGTCGATCTATCTATTCAGCATAAAATGATTTTTGTATCTTTTGTTTCGTTGCTAACATATACATAATTAGTTGCATAAAATTGAAAGAAAATTTAGCAATCTTAACAAAATGGAAAAATGGTATCCCTTAAAGATTGCATAAAATTGAAAGAAAATTTAGCAATCTTAACAAAATGGAAAAATGGTATCCCGTAAAAAAGACAATTTTACTGTTTTTCTTTAATGATGAGCAGATAGATACATGCATTCAACTCTTTGTTACAAATAATTTTGTTAGAATGAGTGAATTAAAAAAAAGCGTAGTCAATATATATAGGTTTAAAAGATTCCAATAGACTCAACATTTTCTGAACGGATTTTTCTAAAAACTATCTGATGAGAAATTTGCATTTACAACTCGATTTTATATATTACTTATACGCATATGTCATGTTGTTTTCAGTGGGAAGTATTGAATGAAATGTATTTGTTTAATTATTTTCATCAAAGGAACAAAATATCCAATTCACAAACTAAGAATACCTTTTTTTCTCTCAGCAAGAACAATCAAATGAAGTGACAAATTTTAATTGTGATTGGTCCTCTTTAACCGTATTACCCGTCCATCAGATTCATCCATCCGTATAGTAGCAAAAAATTTCGTTTCATTACCTGAGCGTATATTTGGCACATTTGTAGACTGATTTAATAATCATGATATCAAGATGCTTCGTATAGTGTTTCAAAATCTTGAAGTGCTAAAAAAACGGTTTGCTTCAGGGGTATTTTCCGGTTTTCGTTGATCCATTTGGTGTTGCTGTTGTTGTTCTTGCTGTCCATCCGCGGATCGCCATTTGCAATCACTTTTGCTGGACTCATACAACGATTCTTTCCTGTTTGTCGTTGTTGATCTGTTGAAACTAGTATCGCGCGAGTTTTCTGCAGCTTATGCAATTTTTTAAATCTCTTAAAATTCTCCTGGAACAAATTTCGTAAAAGGAAAAAGAAAAGAGATTGTCTTTTTTTTCCAAGAAACAGATGTTTCTGATATATTTTTCTGGTGAATTTTGGAAGAAATTCAGAATAGTTTCAAATACTTTTAAATTACAAGGATAATCATTTCTGTTAAACGCTATTCCGATTTATATTCAAATTCCTGTCTCTTGTGGTAGCTAAGGTTTGACTACGGTTTAAGTTAATGGATCAAATAGTTTAGATATCGTGATACTTTTTTGAATATTCAGTGCATAAATTTATCGAGTACAGTTTGAATTAAACCAAACTCACTGAGACAAGAATTGCAACAATCGAACCATCGTGAATGTCCCTTGTTATCTCCTGGTAACAAACCCTGCGATGTGGACGGACTGATTGGTGGAGTGGTTCGTAAGCTATCACTGAACACAATATCTCTTTCAGTTAACTCTCTTTCCTAGAAAAATTATTTATAACAAATGTATATTTACATAATGTAATATTTCTCAAATATTCTTTCCCTCACTTAAATTCTGAGAGAGAGAAAAAAAGAAATTTCGAACTTATTTCAAAAATATTTTTAATTTTTTATTGCTAACAAATTTTCTTTTGAATGCAATAAAAAAAGCTTCTAGATATGATAAGAAATATAGCAAAATTTTATGATAAAAAATCAATATCAACTTTAAGTTTAAATACATGTTAAGTATTTAAATATTTTCTTTATTTTTCTTTTAAACATTTTGATATATGCATTAGTTTGAATAGTTTAAGAACAGTAGCCCATTTGTTCGTTCAATGCTCACATTTTCAAATATCAAATCATTTCCATTTAATTCGTTAGTGTGTTTTAAAAAAATGTTATGAAAATTATTTCATTAAAAAAAAAGATAATTAATTAATTACGGTAGCTTTTTCTAGACATTGTAACAAATGTCGATGCTGAATTTCAAAAATATCATCATCTTTTAATGAATCAAAGCTTAATAATCCTTGTTCAAACGCTTGCATTCGTGCTTCATGTGCTTTCTTTTTGCTAAACAATGCTTTGCCGCTGGCATTTTTAACAATTCGAATACGAGCCAATCGAGCTTTCTGGAATATTTGATCAATTTATCAATCATATCGACTGATATGAAATTTAAAAGTAAAAATTCAGCAAATTTCAAAAAAAAAAATTTTTATATGATTTTTTAAACATACACACATATATGCATTTGTTTATTTTTTACGTTTTTCATTGTTATTTTACCTTTTGAGCTCTCCTCTTATCAGCACGTTGATTTTGATGGTATATTCGGGAGAAATTACTAACAATTACCTATAATAATAATAGATAATATTTTATTAAAAATGATCAGTTTCTTTTTTTAAACATTTACAGTAACAACAAGATATTGCATAATCTTGTAGTAAGCAATTATTTAATAAACTACCACAGTTAAACTCAACCTAATAATTATCAGAATACACATGGAGAGATAAAACTTACTGGAACTGGAAGTGCAATTACTAAAACGCCACTAAGGGAACAAACACCGCCAACAACTTTACCCATAATTGTTGCTGGTACCATATCACCATAACCAAGAGTTGTCATCTACAAATTATTCCCCAATATTTCAATCACTTTTACTGATTTTATTTTGCTCAAAAAAAAATTTTTTCATTTCACATAATTAATCATCGTACATTCCATTACAATTAATAAAATTTTTCTTCTTTTGTTTTGTTTTCAGAAACATATACGAATATAAAATATGTTACAGATTTAATTTAAATTTTTTGACACCATTACTCGAATTAGATCATTGTCACTTTTTATTTACTGCTAATCGACTAACAAAAATATTCCTTATTTGGTCTTATTGATTTCAATAATGATGAAAATTTTTCACTAGCAAAATTTTCCTTTTCTTGTTTTGTTGCCAGAAAAAATCACTAGCATATCGAAATTTAAAAACTTTAGTAAGCTGAAGTTTTAAATAAAATAACTTAAATAATTTTATATTTTATTCACAAGCATTTCTTGCAATTATATAACATTATACTGCCATAGCGATTGCATCATTTATTTATAAATATTATTCATTTCTAATCATTATTATTTATTTCTAATTAATATTATTATTATTATTATTATTATTATTATTATTATTATTATTATTATTATTATTATTATTATTATTATTATTATTATTATTATTATTATTATTATTATTATTATTATTATTATTATTATTATACCTTGAAGAAAACAGTAATACAATAATTTTTCAACTTTTTATTTCTAATCATTTAAATTTTAATTATTTGTTTCAAAAAAGAGAAGAGAAAAAAATAAAACTTACAGTAACAATTGTATACCAAAATGCAGCTGGTATTGAGGTGAAGCGGGTATCATTAACTTTTTTTTCCGCATAATACATTATTGTTGCAAAAATAATTATTGCCATAGCTAATGAAAATACAAGAAAACCAAGTTCACTGGCGCATGATTTTAGCGTATAACCAAGTATGCGTAAACCCTGAGAGTGGCGAGAAAATTTAAATATTCGAAATACCCGCTGAAATAAACAGAAAAGAAAAACAAAACTTGATAATAATATATTAACAAGGAAAAAAAGGAAAAAAGAA